AATTCTGAACCCAAGATGTCTGACTCCACTATTCACTACTGCCTGACTTTTCTGGGGGTCACTGTTTCTCTTCCTTGCACCTGTCCTCCTTCTACACTGCTCCATGTCTCTATGTCCCTCTTATTAATGCTCTTTCTCCTCCCCTGCCCTAAGAATCTCACAGTCTGTGCCCAAGCTGAGGTTTTTCAGAGTTCTCTGGGTCTCCAGCCCCTAGAAGATTCTGTGAGGCTCTGCTGCCCCTAGTTGTGCACGTGTCCCACATTCCCTGCCCCCTTGGCAGCTCAGAATCAGAATTTCTCTCTCTCTCTCTCTTTTTAAGTCTTTCTTTCTTTCTTCCTTTCTTTCAGAGAGAGAGAGAGAGTGTATGCACAAGCAAGGCGAGGGGAAGACGGAGAAGGAGAGAGAAACTCCAACAGATTCTGCGCTGAGCACAGAGCCCAATGCAGAGTGCCTGGGGGGCTCAGTCGATTAAGCATCGGACTCTTGATTTTGGCTCAGGTCGTGATCTCAGGGTCCTGGGATTGAGCTCCCATGTCGGGCTCCTGCCTCAGTGGGGGTTCTGAAGGAGATTCTCTCTCTCTCTTTCCCTCCGCCCTTCCCCCTCTGAATTAAATAAATAAAATCTTAAAAAAAAAAAAAAAGTCAGATGCTTAACCCACTGAGCTACCCAGGTGCCCCTCAGAATCTCTTGTCCGTTTCAGGTCACTGAGGTCAAGGGTGTCTTTCAAGAATGAGAGATGCCTTGGGGCGTCTGGCTGGCTCAGTCAGTAGAGCATGTGACTCTTAATCTCAGGGTTATGAGTTTGAGCCCCACATTAAAAAAAAAAAAAAAAAAAAAAAAGAATGACAGCGACTAAGGGTAGAACTTGGGAGGGGGCTGTTGGAATCAGCAGTAAGATCTTGGGTTTCTAGGGCGCCTGGGTGGCTCAGGGGGTTAAAGCCTCTGCCTTCGGCTCAGGTCATGATCCCAGGGTCCTGGGATCAAGCCCTGCATCGGGCTCTCTGCTCGGCGGATAGCCTGCTTCCCTCTCTTTCTCTGCCTGCCTCTCTGCCTACTTGTGATCTCTGTCTGTCAAATAAATAAAATTAAAAAAAAAAAAAAAGATCTTGGGTTTCTTCGGTGGGTGCAGAGGCCGAAGTCCTAAAGCCAAACCAGAGAGAGGCTAATAGCTACAGCAGGATTTCATACTCACCATGTGCTATTCTGAGCACTTGATAAATATTAATGCATTTAATATTCCCAGCAACTCTATGAGAAAGGTATTATCCTCCCTATTTCTCCATGGAGAAATTAAACACAGAAATGTTAAACGTCTTACCCAAGGTCACTAAGGTAGTTCACAGTGTTCAGCTTGGAAAATCTGGGCAGCCTGGCTCCAGACTCCATGCTGTGAGGTGCTAAGCCATATATCCCACTCTGGGCTGTGAGGAGGGGAGAGGGGTATGGGCCATTAGGACCTGGAGAGAGGGAGACGCAAGAACTAGAGGACAGGTAAAGGGTGGAGTAAATGATTTACAGGTGGAGTGGTTCCCTCTCCTGGACCATAAACCAAAGGGAACTGTCAGCCTCTGAGAAGGGAGATAAGGTGACTCAGGAGGGAAGGGCAGGGAGGGGACTGAGGACTGGGGACTCCCCTTCCTGGAGTGAGGCTTCAAGTCCTGTACCTTTATCCATGGCTCTGTGGGAAACTCAGCCCAGTGATCCAGAGTGTGGGTAACAGGCAGAAGGGTGAGGGCCACAGAAGCAGATGGGGGAGGGGACGATGATTGAAAGGCAGCAGCCTGGGTTGTCCTCAAGGAAGCTCCCAGGATCTCAGGGCTTGAGCTCCACTCAGCCCCAGGCCTGGGCCTCCTGGTACAAGACTCTTTAAGTGGTATGCAGCCCAGAGAGCTCTAGAAAAGCCGCAGATCAGAGCTTGGGAAGGGTTGCATGGCCATGCTGGTCAAGCCCCCAGAGCTTGTATCTTGCCCTCCCCAGAAGAGAGGTCCTGGTCTTCCAGACCTCTGGGACACATGCACACGCATACACACACACACACACACACACACACACACTCCAATTTTTTCCTCATATTGACATCTCCGCTGGCTCATCTGGGGCCCAGAAAGAATATGACTCTTCTGGCCATGAGCAGTTTTCCAGAACTTGCTCATCTAGGAGGTTTCTCAGAAAAAAAAAGGGGTGGGGGGAGGGCCAGCTGTCTTTCAGGTGGAAAGGGGAAAAAATAAAAAAGAAAAGAAAGGAAAAGAAAAGTAAAGTAAAGCCTGCCTGGGCACAAGTCCTCCCCGGCTCTGTTGACATGAGTCAGATACCATCCTGTCCTCAAGGGCCGCATGGGCTGGAAGGGAGCTGAGCCCTGCAGACTTGTCACTGAGCACTGTGATTTGTTGTGAGAGAGGAAACCTGGAGGGCTTCGGGGAGGGACCAGGGGGAAGAGCATGGAAAGCTTCCCTGAGGGCACTCTGAGCTGGACCTTGCAGGAGCAGTGAGAAAGAGCTAAGCCAGAGGCAGGTGATGGCAGCAGGGGTGGGAACATCTCAGAAGGCCTTACCCTGCTGAAAAGCCTGGACCTGGCACTGTTTGGCTTGGGGATAGGCCGGCAAGGCTTCAGGGGAGAGGTCTCTGCCTCTTTATCTCTGAAGGATTACCTGGTTCAGGGACACAGCAGAGGACTAGGAGGTGGAAACCAGAGGGAACAGACTTGGCTCTTCATGGTAAGAGCAGTGAGGGCTAAATGCCCACAGGGCTCCAGGCTCAGGAGACTGTTTCTTTGAATAATCCCAACTGCCTGGGTGGCAGGTATTATTGATCTTGCTTTGTAGAGGAGGAAAACTGAGGTTCAGAGAGACAAAGTAACTCATACAAGGCTGCAGAGAGAGCTAGAAGTCAAACCCAGGTTTGTCTGATTCCCAAGCTTGTGCTCCTACCACCTCTCCATGTTTCCTCTCTCTAGGAAACACTTGGAGGGGAGAAATCAGATCACAGTGTGGGGGAAGGACCCAAATAGGTCAGAATTGGGACCAGCCCTCCTGGGGGTTCGTGGGTGATCTCAGTATCAGGTGGGTAATTGAGCTGGTGCCTCAACTATTATTTCCTCTGTTAGACTGAGGAGGAAATTGAGGCCTAGAAGTAGAAATGGCCACTCAGGATGCCAGATACCCTTAGGAGTCAAGATGCTGGACACAGGGCTGAGGGAGGTCTGCATCCTTAGGCCCAAGTCCCAGACCTGTGGCCTTGTCAACCCTGTGGAATACGGATGGGGAACTGTCAGGCCGAGCTCCCCAGAGCCTGGGCCAGAAGCCTAGCAGGGTGGCCAGTGCACAGGACCCTGGTCCCAGGGCTCAAGCCCTTGTTTAGGCCCAATTGCGCCACGTCCAGCCTTTGGAGTTGTGAAACTGAATAAAGGAAACCTCATTTAAAAAAATAGAGTCCATGGGGCACCTGGGTGGCTCAGTGGGTTAAGCCTCTGCCTTCAGCTTGGGTCATGATCTCAGGGTCCTGGGATTGAGCCCCGCATCAGGCTCTCTGCTCAGCGGGGAGACTGCTTCACCCCCCCTTCCCTCCGCCTCTCTGCCTACTTGTGATCTCTGTCAAATAAATAAATAAAATCTTAAAAAAAAAATAGAGTCTGGTCACCAGAGTGGGGGGAGTCTCACACCCCACCAATTTGTCCTCAATTGCAGACCCCAACAGCAAGAAGCATATCTTGCATTTTCCACCTGGAAAGGACCTACTTCACTACCCCTGCAAGAGGGAGAAAGACTTTTTCCTTGCATAGCAAGAGCCCAGCCAATGAGAAGTTGCCACAACTCAGCTAATGAGAAAACATCACCAACCTCTTGTGGACTTTTGCCCAAAGTAGCCCCTCTCAACTTCCCTTTTTTCTCTATATAATAACTCTCCTCTCTTTTGTTCTCAGGATTCGCCTATGGTTTGCTGTATCTTGCATATCTTGAATTGCAATTCTTCTGTTTTTGAACAAGTCCATTTTGCTGGTAAAATAACTGGTTATTTTGTTTTCAGTCTCAACCAAGTCCATCAACTCAGGTTTTGAATCCTGCCTCCAATGACCCTGAACAAGTCATTTACCTCTTGGAGCCTCATGTGTAAATGGGGTTGGGGTGAGGATTGCAGGAGACGCTGATCTAGCAGGGCCTTTGGCACCGCGCCCGTCGGTCAGTGCTCTGTGATCAGCGGCTGTGATGATTATAACAATTTATCATCATGCATCTATCTGCCTTCTCACCTGGAGCGTGGGACAGTAATCCCTGTCATCTTGGTTTCAAGGACATGGTGTCATCTGTGTGAGACGTAGGGCCAGTGCAGATGGCCCTTTGCCACCCCAAGGCCAGCCCAGCCCTGCAGAGGGTAGGGAGACACATCTAGTTCCCAGGGCCCGGGGAAGCTGGGTGACAGCCTCAATCCATCAATGATAACCTCAGTCCGGCTAAGCTTTATGGGCCCAGCAGATATTTAAATATGGGTGGTGTGTGGCCATCCCAGTTCTCCGTGCCCGACACAGGTCACTGCCCAGAGCAGGTAGGCCAGTGTGGAGTGGGAAGTGGCATTTCCCGGGGCCTTGGGAGACCAGCTGTCAGGAAGACCCCCAAGGATAGTTGTGGGTTTGGGCTGGAGATGGATCTCCTGTCCTCAGGAGTTTGTGACCTGGTTCCTTCCGGCCCTTCGAGTGGAAGAGGAACTCGGGGAAGCTTCTTGCAAGAGAAATTATAGATCTCAGCTCCCCTGGGCCCGTTCCATCCTGGCTTGACCCATGTACCCCTGAGCTCTGGAGGGGATGGGGGTGCTTTTGTCCGCTCTGAAGCTTCTTCCCCTTGTCTACTGACATAGGATGAAGACTGGGTGTGCGTGACCCGAGCTGAAGGGAGGGTGCCTGGGGAACTAAGCTTGTTGAGAAGAAGGCAAGCTACGGACGTTTGCCGGGAAAGAGGGACAGCTCTAGGGGCAGCTCTTGTGACCTCCTACCCAGGCCCCCAGCACCATGACGGTCTCATACACCCTCAAAGTGGCAGAGGCTCGCTTCGGAGGCTTCTCCAGCTTGCTTCTCCGCTGGAGGGGAAGCATCTACAAGCTCCTTTACAAAGAGTTCCTCCTCTTCATCGCCCTCTACAGTCTGCTCAGCATCACCTACCGGTGAGGGGGAGGTCTCAGGGCTGGCAGGGGGGGAGTACTCATCTGCCCACGCCCCTCTAACCCAGGCTTACACTTGACCTTCTCCAGGCTGCTGCTGACCCAGGAGCAGAGGCACGTGTATGCTCAGGTGGCCCGATACTGTAATCGTTCTGCAGATCTCATTCCCTTATCCTTTGTACTGGGTAAGTTTCCCTCGAATTCTCCCGGGTATCCTTCTGACCATCTTCCTGAACTTCAGGTTCAGTTGATAGTTCAGAGGATCAGAATTACCCCCAGCAGCACAGCCTGGAGGTCAGCAGGCAAGGGAGTTGCATTCTGGGTCCAGGATTTCCAGAGGGCTACACCCTGCCTGTCACCTGCGGGACCCTCACTCCACCTGGGACAAGACATGGGGTGGCTTCAAAATCCCACTCTGGGTACTAGAGGGGACACCCCCTTCCCACCTTCATGGGAAGCAGGGCTCAGAGTTAACCGTTCCTTGACCGCTTCTCCGCAGAAGGAGGTTTGCCCTCCTCCCTCCTCCAAACCTGGCTTAGCAAGGTAGAGGCTTTAGGAAGAGGCGTTCCCCTTGACAGCGAGGCAGGGCACTGAAGCCCAATGTGTCCTTCTCCTTGCTTTGGTTCAGCCTGGCCTGGGCCAGGTGCTCTGGCTGGGGAGGTTGGGGGCAGGGCACGCTGACTCCCCGGCCCTCCATCCTCCCTTCCCGTCTGCACTCGCATGGCGGCCAATCAGGTTTCTACGTGACCCTGGTGGTGAACCGCTGGTGGGCCCAGTACACGAGCATCCCGCTGCCGGACCAGCTGATGTGCGTCATCTCGGCCAGCGTGCACGGCGTAGACCAGCGCGGCCGCCTGCTGCGCCGCACCCTCATTCGCTACGCCAACCTGGCGTCCGTGCTGGTGCTGCGCTCGGTCAGCACGCGCGTTCTCAAACGCTTCCCCACCATGGAGCACGTGGTGGACGCTGGTGCGGACAGGTGTCCTCGGGGGCTTTCGGGTTGGGAGGGTTTGGGGGGTTGGGGGGGCGGCTCCGGGGGCCAGGACCTGAACACCGGCCTCCTAGGAGGGGGGGGGGTGGGTCTGAGCCCCAGGGGGCGAGTCCTAGGGGCGGGGGAGGTGTCTGTGCCCCGCCCTCCCTCACTGTATCGCCTCAGGTTTCATGTCCCAGGAAGAGAGGAAGAAGTTTGAGAGCCTGAAATCCGATTTCAACAAGTACTGGATCCCTTGCGTCTGGTTTACCAACCTGGCGGCCCAGGCCCGGAGGGATGGGCGAATCCGTGATGACATTGCTCTCTGTCTGCTCCTGGAAGTGAGTCGGCTCCAGACCAGGCCTGTCTATCCTCCCTGGCTTTGCAAACTGGAATAATATAGATGGTGCCAACTGCCCATGGCACACGGTGGGAAGCACTGTACATACATTAACTCATTCGGCCTTCACAACAGTCCTTGGGACATCATAACCATCCCTCTTTCACGGGTGAGAAAACTGAGTCACAGAGTGAGTGGCAAGAAACTTGCCCAAGTCACTAGTTAGCGGAGCTGGGACTCAGACATGCTGCTTCCCCAGTCTGTGCTTGCAACTACTTTGCTAAACTGCTTCCCATCACGGCCCCCCTCCCCCACATGATAAGACCCCTGAGAGCAGAATAGGCCTCCGTTTGTGCCGGCCTTCCCTGTTCTTTCCCCATTCTTCCCTCCTTTCCTCCGCTGACGTCGGCTTCCTGCCTTTCCCGTAGGAGCTGAACAAGTACCGGGCCAAGTGCAGCATGCTCTTCCACTATGACTGGATCAGCATCCCTCTCGTCTACACCCAAGTAACTGCCTCCCCTCCCCAGTCCCAGTGCCTACTGCATGTCCAGTGCTGTGTGTGACACTGACGATTAGAGACCGTACCTGCTCTGGGGCAGTTCAGCCCAGCGAGACACTGAGCAACCAAGGGCTCATCTTCCAAGCATCGCCAGGCCCTGCTAAGACGCTCCCATCCCCTCGGAGGCTGCCACACCATGCTACATTTCCTCGTCAGATTTCCTACTGGGCCTTAGGTTCGGGGAGGGCGTTTCTCCTTGACTCAGCCAGGCTTCCTTCTCCAGGTGGTGACCATAGCAGTATACTCCTTCTTCGGCCTCTCCCTGGTTGGCCGCCAGTTCGTGGAGCCCGAGGCGGGGCCGGCCAAACCTCGGGAGCCTTTAGAGGCAGCGTCCACCCTGGGGGACCTGGACATGTACGTGCCTCTCACCACGCTGCTGCAGTTCTTCTTCTATGCCGGCTGGCTCAAGGTGGGCATGGAGGCTCGCTCGACTGGCTTGCTCTGTAGCGACATAAGCCCAGGAACCCCACCTCACCTTTGGGGACAGAGAATGGGGCTCTGAGCCCAGAAAACACTGTCTTACGACTTGTAGGTGGCCGAACAGATTATCAACCCCTTCGGTGAGGATGATGACGACTTTGAGACCAACCAGCTCATAGACCGCAACTTGCAGGTACGCAAGGGCTGGGGGCAGCTGCCTGTGCTCCCCTCCCTGCCAGCTCTCCGCCTGGGTGTGCAGAGGACAGGGGATCCTTACGACTTGATGCCTGCCCCAGGTGTCTCTGTTATCCGTGGACGACATGTACCAGAACCTGCCTCCTGCCGAGAAAGACCTGTACTGGGACGAAGACTCCGCGCAGCCACCCTACACGGTGGCCACCGCGGCCGAGGCTCTGAGGCCTTCTTTCCTGGGCTCCACCTTTAACCTTCGGTAAGTGGCCCACGCTGGTGGTGGATGTAGGACTTGACCTGGGTGGTGGGCCCCCAGGTCCTCACCACCCTGCTCCCAGCCTTCTTGGGAGATCCAGTCCCAGGGCGGCCCCGCGCCAGGCTCACTCAGCCCATCCTCCTGCCCGCAGCATGAGCGATGACCCCGAGCAGAACATGAAGGTGGAAGCATCCCCAGCAGCTGCTCGACCACTGCCCGCCCAGACCCCACTACTCGGCCACTTTCTGGGTGCAGGAGCACCCTCCCCTGCCATCAGCCTCAGGACATTTGGCCGCATGCGAGGAGCCCCCAGGACCCCGCATCTGCTGCGCTTTCGAGCAGAGGAGAGTGGCGAACCCGAGGCCGCAGACCGCATTGAGGAGGCATCGGTGGGATCAGAGGACGAGACCAGGGAGCCCTGATCAGAGGCTGCCTGGCCCAGTGCCGTTCTGCCCACCTCCCCAAGGCCTGCCTCCCCTCACTTCCCAACACCCTGCTGACCTCCAGCGCTATTAGAGCACTTGCTGTGTGTCCTGAGCTGGGGAATTTAGGGACAGACCCTGAAAGGGGAAGATGGGTGGTGCCAGCACCAGGGTTGGGAATGTGTCCATTTTGGTGGGAGAATGTAGGATGGTTTGCTTGGGGAAGGTGAGGCTAGGATACATGGGCAAGGCCTAGAGGACAAGAACCCAGATGCACTGTTAATTTCCTGCTCAATAGGTTGTGGGGCCCGTTCTCAAACCTGAGGGAGTATCAGTGGCACCGAAGGGCCTGCTCAGTATATTTCCGTGTGCCACTCCCAGAATTTGATTAGATCTGGGATGTAACTCAAGAATTTGCATTTCTAGTAAGTTCCCAGGTGATGGTGCTGCTGATGGTCCAGGCATCACAATTTGAGTCCCATATGAAAAGACGTTGAGGATATACCTTATCGTGATCTTACTCTGAAGAGGCATCAGAGTATGTGTGCTGGGGGACTTTTGCTTTACCTGTAATATTCTTTTTATTTACAATGAGAATATAATCAGTTATTACTTGTGCAATTACAGTTGTTTAAATTGGCTTGCTGGAAGATGGGATAAAGGTAACATGGTAAGGGCTTGGGAATATGATCAAACCCAGACACGGAGGCAGCTGGACCCAGACCCAGCCCAGCGCATGGGTGGTTGGACTTCAGAGCGCCACTCCCTTCTGTTCCCACCAGCCCAACAGGAGGAAGCGTGATTTAAGGGGTGAAAGCTGCGGGTTCTTCTGTGGTGGGCTTGCAGTGCTGGGGGGGGGGCGGCAGAGACCATCCTAATGGGAGCATAGATTGGAGTTGACTGAACTGAGCTCCACTCTGCAAGTTCAGCCTCCGCTAAAGAAACTGGTGACTGCCAGAACCGAATCTTTGGGTCAAAGGATGACAGAACTCAGAAGAAACAAGAGGTGTAGTAAGGTTGAGTGCAGCCTCTGACATCTGGGGCTGGCTTTGCTACTTTCCTACTGGGCAACCATGGGTTACAGAGTACCTAAACATAGGTCTCCCAAGTTTTGTTTTTTAAATGCTTTTTTTTTTTTTTTTTAATTTATTTGACAGAGAGAGAGGGGTCACAAGTAGGCAGAGAGGCAGGCAGAGAGAGAGGAGGGGAAGCAGGCTCCCTGCTGAGCAGAGAGCCTGATGCGGGGCTCGATCCCAGGACTCTGGGATTGACCTGAGCTGAAGGCAGAGGCTTTAACCCATTGAGCCACCCAGGTGCCCCTTAAATGCTTTTTTATTTGACAGAAAGAGCACAAGCAGGCAGAGCGGCAGGTGGCGGGGGGGGGGGGGGGGGGGGTGGTGGGCAGGCTCCCTGCTCAGCAGAGAGCCTGATGTGAGGCTCTATCCTAGGACCCTGAGACCATGACCTGAGCTGAAGGCAGAGGCTTAACCCACTGAGCCACCCAGGCACCCACATAGGTCTCCAAGTGCTTGTGGAGACAAAAGCACCCCAAGATAGCCATTTCCATAGAGGTTTTTCTCACAGGGTTAATGGGAGTTTGCCTTGCTTCAGGGAAAGAACGGTCAGCTGAAGGCTTCAGGAACGAAGAGGGGATGAATCCAGGACTCTCTTTTTATTTGAGAGTGTGATAGAGAGCACGAGAAGGATCGGTCAGAGGAAGACGCAGACTCCCTGCTCAGCAGGGAGCTCAACCTGGGACTCAATCCCAGGACTCCAGGATCATGACCTGAGCTGAAGGCAGGCGCCCAACCAACTGGGCCATCCAAGTGCCCCAAATGACTCCAAGACTCTTTAAACACACTGCTTCTAGTCACAGATTAGAGGTAGGATTGAAGGGGAGGTATAATCTTGTAGAGCTCAAATGGGAAAATAAAGGCAAAGTGTCTAATCTGACTTTGCTACTCCTGACCAATACTGTAAACAGTTAACTAAAATGATGGTGCTGCCATCAATAACCACTGGATGGAAAGGTGGGGCACAAGCCTCCCAGAGCCCATGGTAAGGTTTTAGAAGGTTGGGTTGCTTTTGGTGTGTTCTTAAGTTTTTGTACTAAGTGGGGGGAGGGTCATCTCCTAGTTCGTCTTTCCCTACTATCTATCCACAGAACTGTGATTCAGCCAAGCTAATGAACCAATTTGGATTTTCACTCCTTTGGCTCTTAAGTTATACTTGCACTTCCCATCAACTTTAACTTCGGATAAAATCTTAAGTTTTTTTTTGTTTTTTTTTTTTAAATTAATTTAGCACATTTGAGTACCTCATATGTTGCCATGCACTTCCAGGTACTGGAGACAGCAGAAAACAAACGTACTTGTTCCTCTGGCATTCTATTCTAATTGGACAACAAAGAAAATGAGCAAAATTTATGCCCAACTAAGGGATAAGGAGAAAAAGCAGGGACAACAGATTAATAGCATGGAAGGAACTAAAATCTAAAATTATCAGGGAGGAACTCACTAAGGCTAAGACCTGGAAAATAAGGCACGTGCTATGTGAAGGAAAATGTTCCCAACAAATGGACTAAGAAGCAAACATGTGCTCTAAGGCCAGGATGATTAGCAGGGTAGAAAAAGGGACCAGGTCACGGTGGGTTCCATAGCATTTGGGAAGGCTTCTGAGATGGGAAGCTGTCAGAAACCTATTGATTCCGATTTCTAGGACTATGTTGGGACAACAGAAGTATTCAGTGCTACTTGCTAAAGAGTGACCAGAAGACAGAGCCAGGGTGTTAAAAGGTTAAACCAACAAGATTTGGTGACATAGGATGTTAGGAGTATAGTGGTCAGAATGATCCAAGATTTTGATTTAAGCAGCTGCATAAAGGCAACGATTTGCTATTATTAAATAGCTGAGAAACTATTTGAAAAGGGAAGGCAGAGGAATGTTACCAGTTTTTCAAATGTTCACCTTTGAGTCCAATCAGGATATTCAAATGCAGGTTTTACGTAGGTTTGGGTTTTAAAGTTAAGAAAATGCAGCACAAACTACATTTAATACCAACAGCAGACAATGTAGCCAAGCTGAAGACAAAGAGTTGACCCTTACAGATTTAGCAATGCAGAAATCACTGGTTATCTTGCACACCTGAGTTGTGAAGTGGGGGGGGGATTAGGGTTCAAGAGAAAATTAACTTCAGAAAGACATTCAAAAGCTGACAGGATAGACATGGAAATGTATACAACTTGCTCTCTACAATACCAAAAAATTTTGGAACACAATTTCAAGGTCTCTAGGCCATCCATGAACCCAGGCTGAAAACTTCAAGCTAAAACCTTAAAACCAAGGTTCACAAAGGAAAACAGTAGAAGGTCCCTCAAAGAGCCAAGTTCAGAGAGGCAGCATGGCTTCAGGTTCCAATCATGGTCCAATCAACATCCCAGTAATACTGGGAGCCCAGGGCTGGGATACCTCCCGAATATGGTCTCTGGTCGTCTGAGCACCACATCCCTGTTCCCACTGAACACTAGCCTCTGGGGTGAGAAACGTTCCCCCGGCTATATAAAGGCATAGCCCCACATCTAGGACTGGCCTTCAGGGAGAGCGTGCTGAGCAACTGGATAGTCACACATAACTCTGGACAGGACAATAAACACCTTTATTACATGACCGAAGATGGAAGATTTATTTGCCTTTCCGGGCTTTGATTTTCCTCAGATAGAACTCTAGCTCCTTGCCCTCTAGGACGTAGCCATCTGCTCGGCCACACTGGCCTGGTCGTGAAGCGATGCATGCTGCAAGAGAGTATGTGTTCATCAGCAAAATGACAGTGGGTCCCTACCCAAACCTAGGTGTCTCCTTAAAAGTCCATGTTGGTTCAGTTATGGTGGGGGCAGGCTTGAAGCCCAGTGTCTCCTCAGATACACTTTATCGTCACTTAAAGTCAGTAGCAGAACTGGACAAAGTTTTCATCACTGAGAGAGCCCCCTCAGCCCACACACAGACTTCTCAAAATACTTCTGGAAGTTAGAGGCAGAGGCCAACCTCAGGCCTATGGGCTCCTGCCCACTACTTCCCACTCCAGCCTCACACATGGGATGACCCCATGTTCTGATTTGTGCTTGTACACTGTTATCATTCAACTCTCCTAGTGAACCCTTACCACACAGCTGGCAGTTAAGAGAACAAGAGGCAAGAATAAAATGCAGAGGGCACACTGTATCTTGTGACCCAATCTCCCAATGCAAAGAGCCATCTTACCAAGAAGCTTGCCCTGCTGGAATTGCTCCTCCAGAAGACTGCTGATTTTGGCATTCTTTTTCCTTTCATCATACTTCTTCTGAATTTTCTTTGATCGTTTTTTGTTTAAAATCTCTTCCTCCTCGGGCGTCTGAATAAAGCAAATACATGGGTTAGCTGGGGCTCCCCTGGCCCTGGCTCAGGGAAGAAATGTCCCCACAGCCTTGGGCCCCGTACATCCCACTCCCTGCTGCCTTCCTCAGCACTTAAGGCTTTCATCTATTTCCCTTCAGTAGCAGAACTGGACACAGTTTTCATCATAAGAAGGCTGGAATAAGGCTGGCCTCGCTCCCCCCACAGGAACATTGGCTCCCCTAAAACACGCACCAGCTTGGCCCCCTTCTTGCGGCCCAGGGGCAGTGCATAGTGGGACTCGTACCACTGTCGGTACGGTGTGCTGTCAATGAGCACAATACAGTTCTTCACCAGGGTCTTGGTGCGGACCAGTTCGTTGTTGGATGCATTGTAGACAACGTCAATAATCCTCGTTTTGCGCGTACAACCTGCTCACAGAAGAATTTCAGAATCAAGTCCTGTAAACCAGAAGCCAACTGTCCCTGCTGTCCCCTACCAGCACACCCTCCCCCAAGTGCCCAAGGAGAAGCAAGGGAACTCTAGGCTGTTACCCAGCTACGGGGTGTCAGCTCAACTTCCACAAAGCCACCTTTCCAGAGATGACTGGCAACCACTCATCAGACTCAGCC